TTCTTTTTGAGTTTTTGGCTAGCTGTTCCTCAAAATCTTTTTTTGCTTTTCTTATTACATTTTTACACTTGATTTGACAGTGTTTATGTTCCTTTCTATTTATCTCACTAGGATTGGACTTCCACTTCTTAAAAGATACCTTTTTGTCCCTCACTGCTTCTTTTACATGGTGGTTAAGCCACGGTGATTCTTTTTTAGGTCTCTTGCTATGTTTTTTAATTTGGGGTATACATTTAAGTTGGGCCTCTATTATGGTGTCTTTAAAAAGTTTCCATGCAGCTTTCAGGGATTTGGCTCTAGTCACTGTGCCTTTTAATTTCTGTTTAACTAACCTCCTCATTTTTGCGTAATTCCCCTTTTTGAAATTAAATGCCAGGGTGCTGGACTGCTGAGGTGTTCTTCCCCACCACAGGAATGTTGAATGTTATTATATTATGGTCACTATTCCCAAGCAGTCCTGTAACGGTTATATCCTGGACCTGATCCTGCACTCCACTCAGGACTAAATCGAGAATTGCCTCTCCCCTTGTGGGTTCCTGCACTAGCTGCTCCAAGAAGCAGTCATTTAAGCCATTGAGAAATTTTATCTCCACTTCTCTTCCTGAGGTGACATGTATCCAGTCAATATGGGGGTAATTAAAATCCCCCATTATTAACCTCTATCACATATAGCTAATATAATCCCTTCTTCCAAAGTGTAAAGAACCATAAAGCACAACAAATGTTTCCATCCTAGGATTAAGTGCATAAAATCCTATTTTTGTCACCTCCACATTCTTCAGCTAGATTAATAGCTAATACCAGGGAGGTTACACACAGTGTTTGTTCAACATTGTATGCTACTCCAACTAATATTTGAGGGTTATCTACTTATAACTAGAATAAAGTGCATAGTTATTAGCAAGCCAATTGGCATTTATGATTTGCAATATTGTTTGAGTTTTCTAAAAGCTTTTTAAAACATTTTAAGTTGTTTCCCCAATTCAACTAAAAGACTTTGAACACCAAAATTAATAATCCCATTTTTTACCTTTTCTGGTTTTTTGCCCTTGTTAAAAACTGTAAATGCCTAACATTACTATGAGTAATCTCACTGCAGAAAGTAAAACAGTTTGGCCACTTAGCTTTCATTGTCACACAACCTAGAGTGGATTGTATCTTTCTCCTCTCCTATATCATACCTACGTACATTAATATCAATTAATTTCTTAATTAAGACAGAGTACTCACCAGATTGTGAATCACATTTGTTAAGGTCCATGCAACAGGAACACTGAAGAAGGGAATGCTGAGCAAGACAATATGAAGCATACCAACTCCAAGTGCATAAGTTAGCCACATTCCACGACTGTTCATCACCCTGGTGTTTGGATTTACCTCACTATGGGCAACTCCTACGTTCATTTTGCTCTATAAAAATAAAATTGTATGAAGTTTGGTATCACAGGATTCATATGTTACAGATATTAAGTATATTTCATATCTCATTTTAAGACTAGGAGAGAGACTATTTTACATCTATTATGGGGTAACATAGTGAGAATGTGTGTATTGGATAGAGCACCGGACTTTGAAGTTAAGAGTTCTTTCTTCTGACATGAACTCATAGTCTGACTTTGAATATCTACACAATAAGATTTGAAAATTGTCACTCTGAAGCCTAGAATGTCCAAAGAGCATGTAGTGATGAAAACAGTTACACCCATGATTGAAGACACTTTTTGTTCAAATATTCCCAGTTTGAGTCATCATAGGGATTTGTGGTTTAACTATCCAGTTTTTAAGGTCTCACCTATTTTAACTTTACAAATTACACCTATGTGGAGTATAGCTCAGGAACAGTTAACTGGTACCTAGGAGCAGCCCCCTGCCCACCACGGGCAGAGGGCTGCTCCAGCCCTGTGGGGGTCAGGAGGCCTATTGTATTGCTGGGCTGCCGGCTCCTTCTGTTGGCAAAGAGTGGGGCATGAGCAAGGTCCTGCTTAATCAGTTAACTGGTTAAACCTAAGGTTTAATCAGTTAACTGGGATTTTACATCCCTATTACAGATATAGTATGATATGTATATGTCAGCTATATGTGGGAGACAGCATGCAACGTGGAATATTTGTTCCAACCAAATTTGTTTGTCCAACTGTTACCCACACAAAACAGATATCTCCCAGGCCCACCCCCTAGACACAAAGCACAATCATTCCACACATGCAGCACAAACCCCTCCTTCACCATCTCCACAAATCTATACAACTCTCCCAGCACATCAAAACCCACACACAAATCAACATAACCAGCTACATCACACCCTAAAACACCACTCTGAAGAAAAGTCTCAGTTGAGTCCATACGAAGTGATGGAAACAGTGGAAAAAAAAGACCTTTCAACCATGTTTATAAATATCAAGTTCAATCAGCCATGGGATTTGCAATTTGTTACTTAAAAAAACCACCCGAACAACTTTATGATTCAGCTACTAGAATAATTCAAGAATTAGTTTTCTTACCTGATGGAATTTTGTTTGGCTTAATGTTTGCAAAGTGCTTTGAGATGTTCAGGTGAAAATTGCTTCTCATTAAATTTTAATTATTTGCCTGTGAGGCAGCTGAGGTGGTGCAAAAATATTTATTGGAGAAATCCCTGCCCTGCTTTGTCCCACCAGTTTGGCCCTATGTACTAAAATGACTTCTTCCATTTATATCCACCACTTGTTTTAAAAAAATGCTGCCTCATTCATGTTGTCACGCTATAAGGCTAGAACTAGTTCTATTCATTCCTAGAACACCACATTTCTTTCTCCCTAAAACCAGCCAACTGAAGTTACTAGCCTAACAAACACACAAGCCAGAGTATAAGTTCTTAGGGATGGCAGGTACTGATGCAGTGACAGTGGGTCAATGTGTAACATGAATGGACGCATCTTGCACACCTCAGATTAATCTGGGATGATGCTGTTTGGAGTCAGTACTTGCACAAACCTATTTCCAAATCTACACACGTGAATGACGAATTACAGTGCTCAAATCAGAAACACCTCTCTGTCTTCAAATGTGGTGGGAATCCCATAATCAACACCACAATTTAGTAGGAGAATCCAGATTGTTCTAGTACTGCACATAAATTGTAGAAATCACTCAGATCTTTTGACCCTGCAATGTCTTCTTATTTAATTGGCTTGCCAAGTGACTCTTACTCTTAATCATTAAGATATGTTCATACCACATTCACCTCCTCATTCTGGCCAGAATCCATGCTGTATTTTGGACATTAAAGCTTTTTAAGTGTAATGAAACACAATGCATGGACTATTCTTTACAAACTATTAATGGATAAAAATTATGTAACTTTTCGTCTCAATGCACGTTAAAGTTCTACATGCTGCAGAACTGAAAGCTACCTCTAGAGTGGAGGGAAACAGCCAAATGGCACTGAGGCAATTTTAGAAAAAGGTGTTTGTGAGATGTACATTAAGGATGTTAAGGACTAGTCGACTATCCAATAAGCAAATGCACTAGTCGATTCTCCCCCCTTGCTGCCTCCATCAGGGGAGGAGAAGAAGGGGTACTTCAAAGCAGCAGGGAGTCCCCAGCTGATCCCAGGTTCCCTGTGGCATTTCCATGAAATCTGGGATCAGCTGGGGACTCTTGTACATTTCAAAGCTGGCATGCCACATACAGCCCGGAGTTAGCGGGACTCTGGGCTGCATGTACATTTCAAAGGAGGAATGCGGAAGTGCCTATCGACTAGTCGACGGAAATTCCATTGACTACTTGACTAGTAAATGAATCGTTATTTAACATCCTGAATGTGCATAAGACCACTGTTTGGGATCAGCTGGGGACTCTTGTACATTTCAAAGCTGGCATGCCACATACAGCCCGGAGTTAGCGGGACTCTGGGCTGCATGTACATTTCAAAGGAGGAATGCGGAAGTGCCTATCGACTAGTCGACGGAAATTCCATTGACTACTTGACTAGTAAATGAATCGTTATTTAACATCCTGAATGTGCATAAGACCACTGTTTGGTATTAGGCAGTGAGACTAGCGCTATCTATACTAGGGAAGTAAAATCCTGACAAAGGTGGGATTCTGGGCTGGGGACCACTCTAGCCCGGCTGGAGCATTCTCCAGCCCATGGGGCTTTCGCTCTCAGCCCTAGGCTGGGGCTACTGTCAGCTCCCAGTTCCCAGCCTCTGCCAGGCAATCCCTGCTTGTGGGGCACACTGTGCTCTCCACGGCCAGAGACTGCTTCAGAGACCGAAGCAGCCCCTGCCTGCAGGGCACCTGGGACCACTGCAGACAGAGGCTGCTCCAAACAAGAAAAGTTCAAAGTTGCCTACAGAAGGCAGGGAGCTGCTCCAGCCCCCTGCAGGTTACTAGGTAACTGGAACCAGTAAGCATTACCCATTTAGAGTGATACTTACTGGCTAACTGGGTAACCAGTTAACCTTTCACATCCCTTATCCTACTCTTATGAAAAGCCTGATAGGTTTTTCATTGTCAATGCAAGTTGGAGAGTGCTCAGTTCTAAGGTGTCAGATGAAAGGCACATATGGTAAACTTGAATTCCACGCAGTTGATCTGTCTCAGAAGGAAAAAGGAATTAGCTGGTCCTTCAATTTCAGGGACTCTAGGTGCCATCTCCTCAATTTGACAACTAGGACTCTAGTTCCTTTTCTTTTAAGAGAGCCCCTGACCAAGAGATCTCCTGATCAAATTCTAATTGTTAGCTCTACCTCAGCCTATATTTAAGGTAAAATATGTGTCTAGTCTACACTCCGATGCAAACTCTCCAATGTTAAACACTGATGCTAAGTAGGGATAAAGGGGCAGAGTGCTACTTTTTCTTTTTTTTTAAACCTCTTTTATCATCATGCTGCAATAAGGGCTTTTCCAAGCCAACAAGTGCCTTAGAGAACTGTATAGCACAGCTGTAAGACAAACTTCACATTAAAATATGATTAATGGAAAACCAGTTACAGAATGTTTAAAAGCAAAACAATTCCCACTTTCCTCACATATGCACGCACACACACACACACACATTTACATTGGCCACTACTACTGTTAAGCTATCTGAAGAGCCATTTATCAAGTTAAAAGTTACTGGGTTGTCTTTGCCTCTTCTAGCTTCATCCTCACACACAATTTATCAAAGAGGAGCCAGATTCTGATGTTACACTTACCTGAATCCAGAGTAAACCAAGTGATGCCAATGGAATTAACTCCAGATATAATCTTCACAATAACAGAGATTTGAATCAGGCTCCAAAATTGTGAAACGTTTCAGAAGTTATTGAGTGTCCCGAGGCCTGTAAAATGCTTTAGTTCTTGACTACCTGAAAGCAGAGGTTTTTTTAGACAGGCTCCAGTCATCACTGAAAGTAAGGGTATCTATCCTTCCACATACTAGCAAAAAGTTCCCTGTTAAAACAAGAGGCCCAAAATGAGAGGTAGCTAGGGGTGAAATCCTTTACTCTCCCCTCCCTCACCCATCCCCAAAAAATTCCCACTGTATCAGGCACATTTTATGTTTGCTATTTTGCTGACTGGCATGGGAGATAATACACTCTCTACAATGCAGCCCTTCAGCCACAAAAAACAGCCCCTGTAGATCCTGACTCTAGCTACCTGCATTCGGTGTGAATATAAAAGATCCACCTTCGTTTGTTTTTCTGCTCCATCTGGCATACAATCTGGGCAAAAGCAGACTCCAAAGCCCGCAAGCAAGCTAGATCTATTTGCTGCAGGGCAGAGATCCCATTCACATGCACCGAAGGAGAGAAGCCCTGACAAAAAAAATCAGGGCTAGGCCCCTTTCCAGCACAAGAGCCGGTGTGTGCGGGGCCTGCTGCTGCTTTGTTATCGCAGGACTGCAGCCCTCTTTGAGGTGCGCCTGTGGCTCTGCCTTGTGCACAACCCACCTCGCACACGTTCGGCAGCCCCCTTCCCCCAAGGCACGGCCCTCCCCCCGCCGCTCCCTCCCCCCCACGCTTTGTTATCGCAGGACTGCAGCCCTCTTTGAGGTGCGCCTGTGGCTCTGCCTTGTGCACAACCCACCTCGCACACGTTCGGCAGCCCCCTTCCCCCAAGGCACGGCCCTCCCCCCGCTGCTCCATCCGACCCACGGCAAGAGGGGGGCCCTACCCGCCTCCCCCCCGCAG